TCTTAGCAAGTGCTCAACATTAATCCCTCCATTGTACCACACACGTGGAGAGACGCTAAAAATGCGTAGTCAGCAAGTTTCGCCGATCTTGTTTAAACCTGCCCGCGTGACGTCATTGCATATAATTATGACGTATGTTAATTTCAGTAGGTAGTTGGATTTTGTCTTCTGAAGTATTTTCTTTCACTTTAAAAAATCATGGCATAATCTGAACAATGCTGTTGAATCATTATTGAACATTTGTAATTCTCATTTTAATCCCAGGCCTGCAAATTTTTAATAGTGCCTGTCATTGGACATTGTCCGGCCAAATTTTACCTTATGTCTGATAAAATTTATTTAACACATTTTTTATTTATTTAATGAAACCAACAAGAAAAGCTATATAGCTAAAGAGAGGCATTCACCCCCCTGGAATATTAAATTTTCAATATGTTTTCAGGGGGGTGACTGCCTCTCTTTAGGGCACTTGCCAAGAACATGGCGGGCTGAAAAAATCCCTTACGCACTTTTAATAAGAAGATACACTTCTGTATGTCTTTATTCTGTGACACAGTACCCCACTTACTCAATTTTCTATCGCTTCCTCTCAAGACAGTAAATATAGCAAGTTCCTGTATACATGTTCCTTCGTGATAAATATAATTGTTTTCTGGGAAACACCATATATAAGTACAGTCACAATTATAATATGGGTTCAACTCGTTTATTTCGTTTATTAATTACGTAATGCATGAAATGTGCATAAAATGTGCCATTTCATCAATATAGCAGGATAAGAATAGCCGTATTATACTCAATACATACTGTATATACAATCAAGACAATACATTGTACTGTCGAGCTTCTTACTACAGATTAAGACTTAAGACCGAGGCAATCTGCAAGAATTGTAAATGTTTACCGAATCATGACTGCGGTTTCGCTTTTGTCCAGACACGAAAACAAAAAAGAAAATTAAACATAACATGCCACATTCCAAAACATTTTCATTTGTATTGAAATTTTCGCTCTACGAAAAAGGATCGTGCATTGCCGTTTAGCTCGCTAGCGCATCTATATAGAATATGTTGTATTAAATCGATTTCTCGATTTCTAGAGCTTTCTTGGCCTTCGCCTTGCCTGAAATGCATTGAGCAATCGTGACGTATTAAGTATTAGCACGTCGGGTTGACGTTTGAACTTCGCTGTTTCGCGTTAGCATATGCTGAATGGGAGACCCCGCGTGTGTGCTGCATTTTTCATTAGTATAAGACTTGGTGTAATTAAATTGCGACAGTGTTCTGGCATGCAATGGTGCAACTCACAGCGGTTGTCATTTGAATGAATAGACATGATTCCCGGCTTTATCCGATCCTAAACGAACTTTATTTATACTGGATAGCTCTATAAGTAAGGATCACCTCTTGCTGATCCAATGTTACTACATGCAGGAGGAAACCTAAACTAAACTAACTTTATTTATACTGGATAGCTGTATCAGTTCTAAACTGTTCTCCTTAGAGGTCCATGCAGTAAGGGTCATCTCTTATTGGTCCAGTGTTACTACAGGAGGAAATCTAAACTAAACTAACTGTATTTATACTGGATAGCTCTATCAGTTCTAAACTGTTCTCCCTAGAGGTCCAGTAAGGGTCATCTCTTATTGGTCCAGTGTTACTACAGGAGGAAATCTAAACTAAACTAACTGTATTTATACTGGATAGCTCTATCAGTTCTAAACTGTTCTTCCTAGAGGTCCAGTAAAGGCTAATTTCCACTCA